ATCCTTCCAATCCAGCCATGGCGGCCCTGGGTGGAGGGCCAAGGAATAGCCCACCGCTCACCCGTCGCAGCTTTAGTTTCCCACATCCGTGGCACAGAAAGTATGGCGAGCCTGTGTCGGTTGGCGGTGTCATATCCGGTAGTTTCGCTCTAGCGCATTCACGATGACTTTTGGTGAATTGACAAGTCATGTATTTTGTTAGCCGTTGCAGTCTCAACCGCTCTTTAAAAGGGCCCCGAAGAGTCGCGCATTGGCTGGCCTTCTGGCAAGTCTGCCCCCTCCCTCCTTGTATCGTCAACCGTCCCCAAATTACCACCGTCCTTACAGTCTTCTCCAGCCGCCTTCGATCTATTTGCCTTGACAGCCGTTCGCGGCAGTCCCGATATTCTCTTTGAAAAATAAAAATACAAATCGGCTATGACATACACGGTCCTCCTGTTCATTACGAGAAACTCCAACATCACCACGGAGGAGTTCAAGAACCACTACGAGCATACACATATTCCCTTGGCCCGTAGTCTAGTCGGCCAAGTCTGGCCAAAGGTTTTCAGACGTCAGTATCTCGCGCGGATCACTCGGAAGGGCTTTGGCGGACCATCAAACCCAGATCGTCCCCTGTTGATGTTAAGGGGAGATAGTCTCGAAGACGACTACGACTGCATTGCTGAACTCGGTTTCGACAGCGAATTCGACTTCCAAATGTTCTTCAAGGGCATCTACGCCAAAGAAAATGCTGCCATCCTGGCAAGAGACGAGGAGAAGTTCTTGGAGCCAGGCAAGACCAGAGCGGTAGTCGTGGGCGAGACCATAAGTGATGACGGTGATCGTACCATTCACGAAGTCGGCTACATACCAAAGCTCCATTCGCCTGATAGTGAGATGAGCTCGAGTGGGATGAGCTGAGGTGGAAAGGGGGGACGGACATGCCAGGCTGCCCAGATGCACAGTCAGTGGCCAAACAACATGGGATCCAGGCGTTTGGGTATACCTTTTCGTTCCTCATTCAGTCCGGAATCGCTTTTCCTTCATCCTGGCGCGTCGGAGACTGGGGAGCTCAGAGGAAGCTCCCATGCCATGATCTAGTCATTCATTCCTCGTACATACACATATACCCACATAAACTTGCAATCCAACCTTGAATCACACTTAGAGTTTCATCCGCGAATGCCTATAGTCATAGTGCCAACCCTCACTTGCAATATCACTCCGAACCTTGTAGTTATTCTCCGCGTCCTCCAAGATTTGCATATCAATATCCACCACACTCATGCCCTCCGCACAACCTCCCAATTTCGCCAACGGCCCGACAAACGGGACCGTGACTTGTGACAGCCCCGCATAACTCTGTCCTGCTGGTCCGCCGGCGTTGGCAAACACAATTGCTGGTGATGATCGTATACGAGTCAGCTTTTCCTTGAGCCATACTGTGTTACCCCATACCATTACAGCAAGTGTACCAGGGAAGTACATACTATGTATGTAGTAGGAAAAATAAAATTAAAACATCAGACCATGCATTAGGTGATGTGACCGGATAGTGATACGAAAAGAAAGCAAAGACAAACCAAAAAAAGGCACACATACCGCAGGTATTCTCAAATGCTCTTGCAGTCAACATGCTATCCAAGAACAAGGCCTCAGCTGTTGGATTTTGCTTCAGGCCTGCTTCATTGCAATCATCGAGTTTCCAAAACGTAGGGATGATACTAGGGGGAAAGCGTCATTAGCATTCCTTTTCTGTACCTGTAGAAAAAAAAAGTGTGCGGCATAAATTCGTAGAACCAATGGGGAATTTTTCTCTCTAAACATGCTTTGGATATTACATGATGTTATATAGAGACAAGGATGGTATGGCCGTATGAGTCGTTACCTATTCAAGGGGTACCTATAAAAGTGGGGAGGATAAAGAGCGGGAAAAAGGACAGGAGATGATACTCACATGATCTTGGCCCCTTGAGCAATCAACTCTCTAAAGGCCTCTGGGAACGCGAGGTCCCAACATATCAGCATGCCGATCTTTCCAATCGGCGTGTCAAACACTTCGTGGTTCTCACGGCCCGAGCCGGTGAGGTGCTCGCGTTCCGGGCCCCTTTTCGTCGAGCGCAGAAACTAACGTCAGCCCGTAAACTCTTTCCAACCACCGACTTTCCACCCCACAACTTCGATGATCGCAAGCATATTTCTGAAAAGAGGACAGAGGGGGAAGATCATGTCGGAGCGAGAATAATGCATAGACCGAAAGGGGAATTTTCAAAAGGGGAAGGTGAAATCATGCAGGGAACTCAAAAAAGGAAGGTGTGAAACCATGCACCAAAACAAAAATACAATGGGAAAAATAAACACAAAACGCACCTACCATAGGTTCTTCTTCACATACTTGCCCCTAACCACGCCCTCGTCATCGATGAAATACGCCACATTCCTCAATTCCCATCCTTCTCCCTCTTTGTCCTCTTTGTCCTCTTCTTCCCCTTCTTCCCCCTCTCCGCCCCGATGCCTCTCCACAATTGTCCCCGGCACAATACAAATCCCACACTCCCGCGCTAGATCCTGATACTGGTGGAGATACGTCTCCCAGTCGTCGCAGAGGGCTAGGAAATCTTCATGTTGCGGATGCCAACTAGTAAGGTGGTATTCCGGGAGGACAGCGAGTTCAGCACCCTGGGAGGCGGCGGCGCGAATGAAGGACGCGGCTTTTTTAAAGTTGTGCGAGGGGGACAGGGGCTGTAGGGTGTTGGTGTTAGTGTGGGGAAGGTCGCGCGGGGGGAGGGGGACAGAAACAGAGAGGAGGGAGGAGGGGTTTAGGGTCGTTAAGAAGGGGGTGGGAGTTACTTTGGGGTAGAGCTGGATCACTGCCACTTTCACTATCGGGGCCATGGTTTCCCTTCCAATGGGTACTGTAAATGGAATTGACAAGAAAATTAGATGAGTTATGAGTTATGAGACGGGAATAAGAATCAATTTACACATGACATGCATCGACTAGGTAGGCGTGAGGCTAATGCTCGCTCGCTAAGTGCGATAAGCTTTTGATCGGCAGTACCGGTAGTTAGCCGAACGTCATCTTTCGTTCAATCACACGCTCCATGCACATTGGCACCAACTAGTAGAGGTAAGTGGTTCAGCCAATCGTTCAAGATTCGGGTTCAATGATAAATTCCTCAGGTGACGATTAGAAGAAACAGGGTATCTTTACGAAAATAATCATGCCTCTGGTAAGACCTACGAGAAGGAGGAGTCGAGGTTGGGCTCAGTCTGATGTATCGTACGTCCTTTCGATCTGGCTCAGGCTAGGCCCGGGCTGAAAGTGGATACACAAGAGGAGGATATCGGGCCTCGAAAGCGACACATCCCTGCGAAACTCGGCATGCTGGCGAGCACTATGGTAATCTTGGTTCCACTGAGATGGCGCTACCGCTCCGATGAATACTGGAGGGGCCTCGCAAATGGAGAGCACCGAGCCCTGCATCCGAGGAGTATATTTAGAAGCCATTCACAACCGTGAGTGCATCCCAGCGCTATATCAAACCAACATGCTGCTCCAGTGATCACTGTCGACGCGAATGCCGCTGCAAGGGTACGTTGTAGAATCGGTCTCCGATTCTTCGTCGGATTCTGTCCCAAGGAGAGCATATTGGTTTACAATCGGAATAGCCTTCGTCGTTTCGTGTCGAATTGGGGGCCGGACTCTCGTATCGAGCCGCGGGAGAGGTTGAGCGCATTCGTCAGGATAATACTCGATGCGGAGGCCTTTGTACACGGTACGTGACATCATACAAGTCCTGGCAAAGAGAGCGTTGTGAACAGAGTTAGTGGAGATGTATGCGTCTCCGTTCTTGAAGTAGATGTCGACCACCACCAAGTTGTGTATGTGGTCTAAATGGTCTCGGATCTGATCTGCCGTGAGCTTGGTTGCGACACCACGAACCACCAGATTTCGGGTCGCGCCGCTGTTTGCTATCTTGTTTGCCACGTGTGATGGTACGTGGAATTGTCGATCACTCCACCGAAACTTGAGCTGTACATGGTCAGTTGGCTGTGTACGAATGACTTCAAAATGCGATTACCCTCTTCGTATGCAGGTAGATGTCAGTACGCTTAGCGTAAGCCAAAAACTCTGCAGCGCCTTCGACGAATGAGATAGTAGCAGACCTATCGTTGCGAAGGAATATATCCAATAGCCGTCCGCCACGAACGATGTCTGCAAGATCCTTGTGGGTAGTGCGCTCTGGGAGGTCTGTGATAAGAACGGTGCGCTGATCATGAACAGGTACATGACGAGGAGGAGCACCGGACCCCCCAGAGCTCCCTCTGTCAGGGCTCTCAGTGGAAGATACTCGCTCGTCATAGCTGGTGGCTCCTTGATTCATTAGGAGATGCCCTCTGTTGATCCTAGAGGCAGCGCTCGTGGATGGTGAGTTGCCATCGTTGTATGACATGGTCGGCGATGTGAGACTATGGGTTGGCTTGGACAGTGTCTTCCCAGATGCGTACTCGTAAGGGGGTGACTTGTCATCGGTATCGGCGCCCTCGCCTGCTAGTAAAGTTTCCAAAGTCTCCATAGTCAGACCGCCACGAAAGAGAGCACTTTTGAGAAGATCTGGAAGGCATCAGAACTCAACCATAACGGAAGGGGATGTTATGACTGATGGTGTGCGGTGGGACATACGGTATTCTCGAACTGCGCGCAACTACGAAGTCTCGAGAGTCAGAAAAATCTTGAATGTTATGTGGAGTATGAAATTCTATCGAAGGCTGGGTTCTGGCCACAGGACCACGACATTGCCAAGCAGGAGAACGCACCAGATACATGTGCTCGTCTTTTGAGATGGTGACATTGTTGGAGAGATCAGCCCCGACTGCAAGATCATGTTCGGATGTATACTACGATTGACTGTCAGGCTTTGAGGATGCTAGCAGACCTATACCCTAGGTAGCTTGCAGGCTGCACGTACAAACTTGGCTCTATCACAACATTAGCAAACAGATAACGCAATTCAGTTCCAAGATCTATCGCAAGGGCTCAACTCACCTTCGCAGAAGCGCTTCGAAATAGGATTGGCCTATGGTGACGGTAGACATTGTGTGTGTGTATGCGTAGGTGGAGAGAAAATGGAGAGAGGGTTGCCTTCATAGCAGGCTCCAGGGTCACTATTTGAGCCAAAAGGAAGGGCTGAGGCATAGCGATAGCCATATCAATCTGCTCCTACCCTGGCCCAACTAGCGCGCCCCACAGCACTCAACACTGGCAAGCGCGACGCGACCCCAGATTCCGTTTTCTGCATTTAGTGAAACGAGAATCAGGAGTCGGAGAACGGAAACTCGTCAAACATGTTTGGATGTGGGTCTGCTGTGACATTTGGTGTTTTCCAAGTTTCATTTCTTAATCATGATGTTGGCAAGCAGCATAGGTATGCATACTCAGGCAACAGTGGTTGTCGATACCAGCCAGCACTTGTGCATTGTGCAACATGTGCACGCGACGGATATTGGTGAACTTACAGGGCGCTACGCTCGTTTCGCCTTAGCCTATGACGCTCCCAGTTTCTGACTTTCTGAGCCTCTGTATATACAACAGCCTATGGAACCCAACACGCCCAGACACGAGCTGGCCAAGCAGTTTACGGCCAACAGCAGCGCGAATACAGGCTCTGTCTTTTCGCACATTACAGACAATCCTTTCTTTACCGCCGTATGGTCCCGCCCTGGTGTTGGTGATGTTGATGGTGCTGTGCTCACACCCCTCATAGGGCTTCGGTCTCGCAGCGCTTGGAGTGGCGGCGCGTACAGGCCAGAAGGGACTCCAACATGGCGCTGCTTTCGTGCGCAGGCGCATGCTCGTTGACCTCGAGATAACACGACATGATGATGCCTATCCATGGCTCCTCCAATGGATGACCAACTACCACCGCGCACAACAAGCTGGCGTGAGACCACCCACGCAGAACGGCGTGCTCACCAAATTCCTCAATCGCATCGATCCTCGTATGCATCATCTCCAGGTGCAGACCTACACCCCCCAAGATGGGCCGTCGCACGCTGCCCACTTCTCCTTCGTGCCTGGGCCTGGAAAACACTTTCTGCGCTATAAGAACGCCTTCATCTTGGTGGACAGACAGCGAGAGCGCAACAGTCTGAACGTCAAGGATGGTGTGCCCTTTGAGACCATCAGTCTCACCACGTTGTATTCACATCGCGACATCTTCGAGGACATTTTCGCCGAGGCGCACCAGATCTACCAGCAGTCACAGGAGGGCAAGACGGTGATATACAACTCAATGGGCACTATGTGGCAGCCTTTCGGCGACGCCAAGCGGAAACGGCCCTTGGACTCTGTGGTCCTCGAGCGTGGCGTGAAGGAGAGAATCGTAGAGGATATGGAGGCCTTCATTGCGTCACGCAAGTGGTATCTTGATCGCGGTATTCCGTACAGAAGAGGCTACCTGCTCTATGGTCCGCCTGGAACTGGCAAGAGCTCCTTCATCCAGGCTGTCGCAGGCCATCTAGATTTCAACATTGCCATCTTGAACGTCAGCGAGCGGGGCTTGACAGATGACAGGCTCAACCATCTGTTGACCAAGGTACCGCGTCGCACAGTAGTGCTGCTGGAGGATGTTGACGTTGCGTTTATGAACAGGAAGACGCCTGGGCCAGATGGATTCGCTAGCGCATCTGTTACTTTCTCAGGCCTGCTCAACGCGCTAGATGGGGTAGCGAGTGCTGAAGAACGCATCATCTTCCTGACGACAAATCATGTGGAGAGGCTTGATGAGGCGTTAATTCGGCCGGGGCGTGTTGACATGACAGTTCGTCTTGGCGAGGCAACCGAGTACCAGATCGAACAGTTGTGGGACCGCTTCTACGCGGAGTTTGATGGGAGCGGTGAAGCGAAGCAGCGATTCATGGCCAGGGTCCGAGAACTTGATCTCATAGACTCTGTGAGTACGGCGGCATTGCAGGGATTGTTTTTGTATAACAAGGACGATGTTGAGGGTGCCATCGCCATGCTTGAGGGCCTCACCGCTGGTTACCATCAACGCGAAGGACATGTGGGCATACCTGGCCACGTGGACGTTCAACAAAGCGGTCATCAGTAGACATGACCGCACTGTACCAGAAAATGCATGTATGATAAGAGTATATGTCTGTACTGTAGTTGCAAAGATGCAAGCGCGCGTGCATGTGCAGATGCGGCGTCTGCGTCTGCATCTCTATCTACGGCGTAGAGTAGTGGTAGGCTAGGTGCCATGGCAGCTAACAATTCAAAGGGTCGGCATTTTGATGCTTGCAGGCAGACAGTCTTCCGGGTGATGCCGTGCCTGATGACCTGCATCCCGCCCGCGTGAAGCGCTCACTCCCGTCTGCGCCCTCTAATTTTGCATCATTCCTCCCCCACTTGGCCGCCCAATCTCTAACCATTTTGGCCATGACGGTTGTTTCTTTTTGGAAAAAGGGCCGTAACTCTATCTAATCAGATCATCAGAAACAGAGTGAGAGTGACACGGTCGGCGAGACTCATCGCTAGCACAATTTATCTGATCATCTGATTTCTTTGGCCCCCACAGCACATCAAGCCCTTGTTTGGTGCGACAGCGCGGCCTATCCAATTGCACAGGCGATTGAGTCGCCCACCATTCCATACATATGGCTCGTGGTGCCTGGCACGAATTATCCTCCTCGGACGCTTCCTCGCCTGGCCCACGTCCACGTTCTCCCAGTGACCCGGCTACGGCGGGAACATCTGCGTCGACATCGACCACCACAGCCACAGCCACATCCACGTCCACAGGCAGCTACGAACTGCACACCCTGTCTGGAAAAGCAAGGAAGATAGCCACGTCTCAAGCGCGACCTGATGACGAGTACGATCCATCACCAGCTCCTCCCGCGAATCCTCCTTCGCTCGACAAGAACAACATGTCGAGAGCGCCTTTGTTGGTGCGATCGAGCCCAGCACAAGGTACTGGTAAGCTAATGTCGCTCACGATTCGCCCCGCCCCTGCATGCTGAATGCACGACTCGCAAATCGCAAATCCCAACACTGCTGCACGGGTGCGCAACCTGGTGGTCAAGTCCTAGGCTAATAGCACACAGGGTCCTATGGAGGTTTACCAATCTTATCCCTGAGTCCGGATGATTCCGATGAGCATCATGTGATCAAGAGCTCGCAGAAAGCAAAGAGGGAAGGCAAGAGCAGACTGGCCCACAGTGAATACACCCAGTCCCAACGGTCGCCCGACTCTAGTCGTCTTCAATCAGCACGAAGTGAACCGAATCTTGCAAGTCGGGGTCCTTCACGACGCCGCATTCGAGAGGAAGGTCGCAGCAGCTTGACCTTGGGTGAGGAGATTGATGGTCAAGAAGAAAGTCGATTCGAGGCACGTTTCCATGGCGCTGGCCTGGATCCGTCCATAGCTGGTGTCCCACTGCTCGACAGCTCACCAGCGTCTTCCAGTAGCACTCGTATTGATGATGCTGGTGAGGATGACGAGGAGGAGGATGGTGACGACGACGACGATGTCTCCGACAGCGAAAGTCTCCACGATATCAAAGGCAATCCCCTAGATAACTCGCCTTATGCCCAAGTTCGCGCCTCCGTCGCTGCTAGCGACAACACTGCCTTATCCATTGATACCCCTCGCATGTGGTTCCTGTCAATTTTGTTCGCGATGGCCGGTTCATCGACCAATCTGTTCTTTTCCCTACGATACCCTAGCGTCAGTCTTACTCCTATTATTGCTCTTTTGCTCGTTCATCCCCTTGGTCTGCTTTGGGACCAGATCTTTAAACGACCCTCGGATCCCGAAGAAACCTTTGTAAACGGGTCTTTGCATAAGCGAACTTACAGTTCTGAAACTCCACAATCAAGGTCGACTTGGACACGATCAATACGCCTGTGGCTAGCCCAAGGCCGCTGGAATGAAAAGGAGCATTGCTGTGTGTACGTGAGCAGTAACGTATCCTTTGGCTTTGCTTTTGCTACAGATGTGATTACTCTCTTGGTTCCGTGCGTCGAACTATACTGATCTTAATGCAGGTCATTGTAGAGCAGGTCAAATTTTACCATCAGGATCTTGGCATCATGTATCAGATTCTCCTCATCCTCTCGACACAAATCTTGGGCTATGCACTTGCTGGTCTCACACGGCGGTATCTTGTCCGACCCAGCGGCATGATTTGGCCAAGTACCCTGGTTTCCACAGCCATGTTCACAGCTTTGCACAAAGATGAAAATAAGCCAGCCGATGGTTGGACCATCTCGCCACGCAAGTTTTTTGGGCGCATCTTCATGGGCTCTGTCGCCTTTTACTTCTTACCTGGACTTCTTTTCCCTGCATTGAGTTACTTTAGCGTCATCACATGGTTTGCACCTAAGAACGTCGTTATTGCAAATCTTGTACGTCATCTTTCCATAAATCTGTATGCAAAACGCTGACACTCTGTAGTTTGGCATTGCATCTGGGCTCGGCTTGTTTCCCTTGACTTTTGACTGGGCACAGATTGCCTACATTGGGTCGCCACTTGTCACACCGTTTTGGGCTGCCATGAACATCCTCGGCGGCCTTATTGGCGTCATGTGGATTGCAGCACCCATCATGTGTATGTCAACTGCTCGATGATATTGTCTAGTTGAGCTGACATCATGTAGACTACAAGAACGTACTGTATTCGTCTTACATGCCAATTCTATCGGCCGCAGTATGGGACAACAAAGGAAAACCATACAACGTTAGCAAGATTCTGACGCCCGACTTCTTATTTGACGAGGCTGCATACAAGGAGTACAGTCGAGTTTACCTACCCATCACCTATGTTCTCAGCTATGCTCTTCAATTTGCCGCCCTGACCGCTTTACTTTCGCATACTGGCCTTTGGCACGGAAAAGATATCTGGAGACAATGGCGCCGCTCATGGGCAGAGATTCGAAAGGAAGCAGCCACTGAATACCAGCCCTTGTCGACGGGTTCAGAGGACAACGGCCGCCCCTCATCGCCTTCTATGAGCCGGGGGAGATCTAGTACGACTTCTGAACCGGAAATAGAGGACCTGCTCACAGCGGAAGATGTACACAATCGCCTGATGAGGAAATACAATGATGTACCCATGACATGGTATCTCCTGACAGGTGTGAGCATGGCTGCCGTAGGCGTGTTCGTCGTTGAGTACTATCCTGTCCATCTACCTTGGCATGGCCTGCTTCTGGCCTTGGGTATCGGCGCCATCCTGTTTATCCCCATTGGCATCGTCATGGCAATCACAAACCAGCAGAGCAGTATTTATTTGATCTGTCAGTTGATCTGTGGTGTAGTCTTCCCGGGTCGCCCAGTCGCGAACATGGTGTTCACGACTTTTGGATACATCTCGTCAACACAGGGGCTGAAGTTTGCTTCTGACCTGAAACTTGGCCACTACATGAAGATTCCTCCGCGCATCTTGTTTAAGCTTCAGTTGTCCGTCACTATCATCTCTAGTTTGACACAGATTGGGGTGTTGAACTGGATGCTCAGCCATATTCCCGGCATCTGCACACCGAGCGCCATTAATGGATTCAACTGCCCTATCGCACGGGTCCATTTTAACGGCAGCATTCTATGGGGCGTAGTTGGACCCAAACGTTTTTTTGGACCCGGCGCACTCTACCGACCACTCATATGGGCCTTCCTCGTCGGTGCTGTTGCACCCGTCATCCTTTGGTATTTTGCACGCAAGGACCGCAAATCTATTTTGCGCAAAGTCAACCTTGCCGTGGTATTTGGTAGTCTGAGTTGGATCCCCCCAGCGACGGGTCTCAACTTCTCGGTGTGGGCGATTGTGTGCTATATTTTCAACTATGAGATTCGGAACCGGCGCAAGAATTGGTGGAAAAAGTACAACATGATGCTGAGTGCTGCGCTCGACTCGGGCCTGGCTTTTGGCGTGGTTGTCATCTTCTTCGGCATCGTGTATCCCGGCTGGATGAGCGGGTTCAAGTGGTGGGGTACAGAGGTCTACAAGCAGGTACGTTTTGTATTCTCCCCACGACGTACATGTACTAACCCTCCCAACCAGGGCTGTGACTGGCAGGCCTGTCCCTACAAAGAACTACCCAAAGGAGGAACCTTTGGTCCACCAACGTGGTGATGACAGCCTTGCTGGACTGTCTTTTTTTGGCATAACCCTTGTTGCATAAGCATTGCGTCTTGGCGTTTTTTTTTCGAGGCGAGAATCTGGATACACTCCCCATCCATTCTAGCATCAAAGCGTGGAAATCACCTATTCTTAGATCCATATCTGTTTCCACCTTTTGACAGATCATCTCCAATAACACGAAGCAAAAATCTCTGAACCTAGCCCTTGGCTTCCTGTGTAAATTAAACGATTACATTCCTATGCATGAGAAAAGTTATAGATCTATGTCATTGATGAAGAAAAGCCAAGCTAGCCTCTTCTATACAAAATTTTCTTCTCTCCTTCTTTTCTCCCCTCACAAAGATCTTCCCTACACTTTCCCTCTTAAACTAGCACTCCACTCCACTCCACTCCACAACCAAACAAGCCATTCCACCCCCCGCGTAGCCCTAACCCAGCACTCCTGCTCCTACGTCTTCAAGAGCTATAAGTCTAATACGTTGGCAACACCCCCAGCACCCACCACACCGCCTACCAAACAAGTCCATCACAGCAGCACAATCACATCCCAAATAGCCCCCACTCCATCCTCGCTCTCGTAATTGACGACTCCGTGTGGTGGCTGTATAACTTGCGCGTGGAAAGGGGTGTGTGGGTGCAATGGGGTGGGAGGGATATGTGTGCTTGTTTTTAAATCTTACATAGTCGTTGCTGTGCTGTGAGGTTCTGCGTTGTGCACTTTTAGCAGCGTTCAGGAGGTGTGATTGAACGAATGCGGGCGTGAGGGCTTAACACGGGAGCCAAGGTACTCCCAGTCTTGGTATACTAGACCTAGGGTTGATACTACGTTGATCAAAGGTCAAGATGATGCAAGAATGGCTGCGCATTGGTAGGGAAGGGGTAAATGGCACCCACCCATGATTCAGATCCCCACTATCTACCATGTACAAACGGATCAGAAAGTATTTCTCTCAGTCGCCCAAGCGAACTATAAATCGCGTCTGGATTCATGTCCAGGAAAGTTGAAGGTACAAATAACAACAAGCGCCTTGGGCTTGGCATATACGATGAACAGTGATCAAGGATCCAAGGACCCAAAAAGAAAGAAAAAGAGAATAAAACTCCAAAGTCCATGCAGATACTAGTCTTCCAGTCATGTTTCATGCCAACAACAAAGTACCCATAAAGTTTTTCCGAGACGTCACACGTCTCTCGTTTCGCTCTTTCTTTCTAATTCCGTCCCTGCCCTTCCCTCCTCCCCTCCCCTCCCGCACACAAACAAACACAAACACACAAACAAGGCCATCCAAACAGCAAATCGTCCCGTCATGTTCCCCGCATAAAGAAACCAGGCTAGCACCCGGACATGGATATAGATTCTGTAAAAAGCATGAACATGGACCGGCTAGCTCCGGCCCTCCTGAAAGGGGGTAATCATTGAAGAAGGAAAAGAAAGAGTCGCGCGAGCGCACCGCGAACCGCGGAGACAAAAAGTTTTCTTTGAAACGAGGGGGTCGACCCAGGCGACATGGGTCAGTCAGTGTACATACACGGTAGAGTTGATGAAAATGTGACGCTACGAGAAGGAATGGTGTATTGGAACTGGAGTCGTTGAGGATGAATTTGAGCCTGCTACGAGGTGGGGGCTGCATGTCAAATTTCCAGGAATGCAGAGTGTGATGTTGTGACTGGGACGGGCAGGAGGGCTAGGCCGACCATCACGATGGCGAGAAGGAGTCATAGGATGCTGCATGCACTGCCGGAAGACCTGTACGTGTAGTGGTTAGCTGTGTCCAATGAGAAGTAGTAAGTTTGAATTGACAAGTAAAGGGTGAATGAATGTCTCGGCCCATTATGCAAAAGCTCTTCGTCATTCTGACAAATGGACGCTGAGATCAAGAGGGCAAGGCAAGACTTGCAACACACGTGCAATAGATCGCCGATCGCCCGTCTTACATGCAGAACATCCAGATACAGAGTTCGTAATGGAGGGGTTGTTGTGGTGAGCGGAGATTTCGACTTACCAGCGTTGCCCACGGATCCTGCCAATCCACGAGTACACGATCTTGAGGCGCTCGCGGACTCTCTCGGTTTGCAGAAGCACATATTTCTCCTCCTCTACAATGGGAACGACGGATGCGAACCAATACGGGAATATGGCTGGGTCTTCCGGTGGCTCTCCATAGACTTGAATGATACGGTCGCGGAGCCATGGCGCACTGGCCTCTCTCATCTCACGCACGAATGCTGTGCAACTATCGAGTAATTGCTGTGTCGACAATGTTTCGATGGCGATCTCGTTTGGTAGCGGCATTTGGGGATGCTCTCGCATGAAAATCTCGGCGTAATCTCGAGCCATTGTTGTTTCGCGTTGCTCCAACATGCCTTCCTCGGCGAGCGACACATCTTCTACACGCTCGATTCGACTCACGTGATAGCCGTCGTGCATGGCATGTTCTTTGACCTTGAATCGGCCAATGCCTCGTGTTTCGATAAAGCTGCGTCCATCCCGTAGCAGTTCGTAGTTCACGATTTCGAGCAATGTTCCGTATTCGAGAAACTGAGTCGGACCTAAGTCTCCTTGCGGAGCATGTGTACGATTATACATGACCATGCCAAACTGCTTGTTCCCTTCAATCACACGTCTCATCATGAGCCGGTAACGTGGCTCAAACACATGTAAGAATGTGGGCATGGACGGAAGTGACAATGTACATATGAACAGCGGCACGTTATATGTGTCGTCTCCAGCTTGCTCCTCAGCCTTGAGAGCGGCGGCACGTGCCGTGACAAGATCTGGACACAGACCATTGAGGAGCGAGTTGAGGATTTTGTTGCTTGACTGATTTTGTAAAGACGCAGGCACATGAAGGCCTCGTCGGCAGAAGGGACATATGCTACTGTGATCCATGACGCGGCCAAGACAGCGACGACAAAAGGTATGACCGCATGATGTAGTTGTCGGGTCGAGCATCAGGTTGTAACAGACAAGACAGTCGAGCTCTTTGTGTGTGACATCGCGCAGCCTTTCGAGCAAGGCAGAATCTAGCAACTCGCAATCTTCGTCACTATATGAAGACGTCGTCTGGTAGTCAACATCGGAACTGTAGCGAAGCTTGCCCATGTCGGCCATGGTAAAGGTCGCTGCAAGCCGTCCACCTGGCAATTCTTGTTGGTTACCTTTTTCGCTCTCATGATCCTTTTCTTCAGCGGGCATGCCATTGACCCGGATGAGTTCTTCAAGGAGAATAGCTGGTTTCCCTGCAGGTGGCTTATGTTTGTGAATCTCAGCTTCTATCAGTTCCATGAGCTTGGTCAACGTCACATCGACCGAGCATTCCGCCGACGCATGTTCCGCCCCGCAGCCCAGCAGCGGACAGGCGATCCCGGTTAGGCGGTCAGGCGTATTGGGATACGAGATGTTCGTTCGGGGTTGAGGGGCCGGGAGGCAACCGCGACAAACTGTGTGACCACAGGGCAGTGTCACGGGGGTCTTGAGAGGTCGAGAGCAGCGGGGGCATTGTACGAGCCGAACGAGTTGTCTGGCATCGCAGTGGGCGTCCAAAGCTACCGTTTCCGAAGCCTCCGACGAAAGCCCATTGTCGGTCATGAAGTCCTGCACAGACAATTGGGGCTCGTAGGTGCGCTCCACACTTTCGAGGATCGAGCAGGCTTTGGTCCTTTGACGATTCATGTAGATGCAGTATATCGCGCAATGCCTTTGCCAGCCATGTACCGTATGCGACACTTTCTCTTTGAGAGTGTGGATGTATGTGTGTATGTGTGTGCGATTGAGGAGGGGTTGACTCGACGAGGGGCGAAGGAGGGGCACGTGCTGCAACTGCGCGAGACTTGAAGAGTGATATCAAAAGCCGAAGTAGAAGTCGCAGTCGCAGTCGCAGTCGCAGTCGCAGTCGAGGTTGAAGTCGAGGTTTCGGCAATGGAGACCTTTAAAAGGCCAGTCAAGGTCGGACTGAAGCGGCGGCCGTGGTCCTTGCGGCTCCAGAAGGCGGGCTGGCGGCGAAACAGTCGAAGGCGAGTGCTGACGCACTATGTGAAGAAGCACGGGGAGGGGCGCCGAAAAGGTCTGGTAGTCGGGTTGGTGTAGACGCTATCAGATGTGGTAGAGAGGTCTGGAACAGCAAACAGGATGTATACACAAGATCAAGCGTGTTGTACACAAGGAAGAGTGCTAAGGGCCGAAAGGGCTGTACCGGAGAACAGGGACGAGGAAGTCCGACTCTGAGGATGGGAGGGTTGAGTGAAGTACTAGAGTAGTGGTCCC